CAAGGGTGATTCATCCTGAAGCTGCTCATGCAAGAAACGCTCATCAGTTGTGCTTTAGATGATAAAAGTCATTAAAGTGAAGTGCATGTTCAGTAGCTGTGTATAGTGAATAGAAGCGCCGGTGCAAATAAATATTGCTCGCGCATGTATCTAATATCTTTTCAAAAGTTTTGATATTTACAACGGCGCACAAGAAGCCATTTGTTTGGATTTGGTGCTGACAAAAGCTCTTTTGTAATCTGTTGTAAAGTGAGGTGCTACTCTGAGGCCCCAGACCTTTGAAGGTTGAAATTCAAAGCGTGCTTTGTTTTTGTAATTTCATTGACTGTAGATTTGTTTGTATAAAAGCACTGGGTCTAAAAACAAAAAACACAAGGTGATGGAGTGGTAGGAACATGTTGAGGCAATCAAATATAATTGATGTCATGATTAACTAATTTAAAACGCTTATCATGCCATGCAGATATGTGACTCGCAAAAGCCAGCAGCCTACTGCAGGATGCATGATTCTTTAACAGGATAAGGTAAGCAGGTTCAACTTCTTTGCAGATGACCTTGACTTATTAATTAATTTTGCACAGTGGCATCCCAAATGCAATAACAAGAGTTCTGAATGTCTGTGAAGGTTCTCAGTTATCCAGGTCATCATAGTCTAAGGAGCTTGGAAAGAAAAACGTCTGGACTTCTTTAAGTTGCTTGAAGATGTTTTACTTCTCATCCGAGAAAGAACTGTAAATGAAAAATGAACTGAAGAAGCTTCTCGGATTAGAGGTGAAATGTCTTCAAGCAACTTAACAAAGTCCAGACGCTTTTCTTTCCAAGCTCGTTAGAAGAGTTCTGAATGAATTCTACTGATATAAATAGGGGAACTACTTATTTCAGTAGCGATAATACGAAACCTCAATTTTTATTTAAAACACTGTTTAACGCTCAGGTTTATTGTGTCATGTAAAAATGAGTATCCCATCCATAGAATGAGAAAACGTTTGGCCAAAAATACTAAAACAAAATTAGGTCAAAGCAGCCTAAAATTTCTTTTTTTTGTTGTTTTAGTTTTTTAGTTTTGGTATTTTGCCTTTGTAATGACAGTGAGAATTGAGGGAAAATGGAAATATAGGGAAAGAGAAGAGGGAAACAACGAGCATCAAAGGTCCAGGCTGCCATGTTACACCCATCAACATGACCCTCTTCACTCATACTGATGTCAGAACTTTCCGGACACACTTACTTGAAACACTGTAATAAAATCACAGGTCAAGTGTAACAGTTGTTACTGTTAGGCAGTAGTGGTAGAAGAAATCCATTAGTATTTATCTTTGAGACGTGAAACTTAATTTTTAAATAGATAGTTTCATTACATATAAATGTTCCCGTTAACTACACAGGCTATAACTGTGTTGTTGTGCAGTTTTCAAAATCTTTACATGCTGTAAATGCCAAAAAAGATTTATGTCTTTACCCATAAACCCCCATCAGAGAGTATTTTTGTTATCTTGATGATTCAGAGAGGAATTATACAACTGTTTGAGGGCGTTACAGTAGAGAGCTTGAAACTAATCATTTGCCTCACAGAGTCTATTACTGTACGAAGTCATAGTGAGTCAAATCAACAATTTGAGGGATTGTAAAGATTTGCCGTTATCCAGGTCATCTTAAAGTTTACATTTTTTTAAGATGATTTGAATGAAAGTGTTTTCGGTTGAAGGTAAAAAGGAAGTCCGGTTGCTTTTGACTGAACATTTCTAAATACATCTTGAGAAGCCTTTGTGAGGATCCTTGGGTGCCCCTGGAGCCCAGTTTGGGTGTAAATCTTTGCTGATGTAAACCATCAAACATTGATGGTCCAGCTGGGTTGCTGTGGAAGCAGAGACTGAAGCCAGTAGGGCTCTTTTCTCTTTCTCTCCCTCTCTGCTTCCTGAGCACTCCTGCTCTGCCTCTGTTTATCCTCAAGCATCCCCTCTTGTCAACAGATTAGGACTGAACCCCGCTGTCTCTTCCTTTCGTCGTCTCTCTCTGCCTCCATCTCTCTGTCTTTTGGCCTGTCTCTTTACATCTGCGCTTCTGCTCTATTCTTGTGACGAGCGAAAAGAGTGGAAGGAAGAGGAGGGGGAGATATAGGAGAAAAAGAAAGTGTATATATGTGTGTGTGTGTGTGTGTGAATGTGTGTGTGTGAAAGAGAGAGACGAGAGATGGGACAGGTGCTTGCAGTGCAAGAATTGCTTTGCTTGCCTTGCTTGCATGATCAGGCTGCAAAAATGTTCAACTCAAGCAAAAAGGTCTGTTCAAGAATCGACTCTGAGAATCAGGCTTCCTCGCCTGTGGCCAGACCAGCGCTGGCAGCGCAGCGGCAGTTCACAGCGGCAACACGCTACATCAGACCCACACACACACATACAGAGCCCAATCGTAATTGCAGGGGCCCACAGATGCGCGGTCAACCACACAGAGATGTAGCTGGTCTGTGTTAGGAAGCCAGACACACCACTGAACTGAACAGTAAATCAGGCTGAGAGACCATCTGAGGTGTCAGCGGCAGAGTCCAGGCAACAGACACCTGGAAGAGTCCAAACAGGCTAAACACACATTAAGCTGCAGATGCTGCATGTAGGGGATGGATTCCCTCTGATCACATTTACAGGCTTACACCAGCTCAGCAGGAAACACTGATCTGCTTCTCTGCTCCGTTCTCGTCTGTTCGCTGCTGTTCTCTTTATGTTTTTGTTCTGCTCTGTTCTCTGCTGCTCAGGTTCTGTGCCTGTGTTGTCAAAATCACCTTGGTTCATCGGCCACAAGCGTCCCAGTGGGCCAGACCAGTAGAATCTCCTAAAAAGTCTACAAAATGTTCTCTTTCTTTTCACATAAAGAAATACAAGTGGGCTTTTCTAAAAGTTCACATGTAATAAACTATGAATTTCCAGGCAGTCCATTTTGTAAACAGATGGTGATAACTTAAGAAAGATATGTCTAAATTTTCCTTATAAGTCATTCTAGTGTCATGACAAAGAAATGCTTCTGTCATCAACAACATGTTTAGGATTGACTCCTTAACTTAACAACTTTGCTTTGACGTAGTATGGTAATGTTTTTGACACGAAGAAGGTGACTTGCAGCACAGCATTTCAAAATACAGCAAAAAGCCCAAAAACCTTGCAAAGACATCCACTGCACTGGATTATGATGATTTTGGCCAGCAGGTATCATGTCTGAAACCCCTGATATACACTTTTTCTAACCTCCTCTGCTGGTTCAGTTGTTTTGTTCATCCTTTCTCTCATTTCTTCTGTTCTGCTCCTTCTTATATTCCTTTCTAATTTGTCGTGATCCATTTTGCTTCTGTTCTCTCCCGTGTTTTTACTTCATTATGTTTCTTCTTGTTCTCCTCCGTCTGACATAACTCAGTTCTGGTCACCTTTCCTCTCAGCTGAGAGCTTCTCTGCTGTTTTGCTGTTCTGTTATTTTCTTTGGTGACCCAGCTCTGTTTGGTTTGCTTTATTCTCTCTTTATTCTACAAAAAAACAAACTTTAATATACTTCACCCATATCTCTCCTTCTCTTCAATTAAGCTTATTACCAGTGCTCCTTGTAGCCACGACACCAGTTAATCAGATCTCTTTTCTAATCTTCAATTTCAGATATTCTGACTTTGACATATTATTCTGTAACATCTTTAACCTTCTTGTGTGAAGCACGAATATCCTGCTCTGTTATAATCCTATGGGGTGGTCGGCTCAGCTCCAGTCTGGGAGCTCCTCTGACTGTCTGTCTAGGTAGATCATTGTCTGTGGTTCATCACACCCTCGGCCTGCAGCACCAGGGACCCAGGTGCTGAAGCAGGTACACACACACACACACACTCTCACACACACGGTTGAACTGTTCACATCAGGCCACCTCAATTAATCACCTCTGTCTTTGGAGCAGTGACTGCCCTCAAACACAAACGCACACATCTGCTCATTCACTGAGGTGTGTGTGTGTGTCGCTGTGTGTGTGAGAGAGGGCAATCTATCAAGGTGATCGATAAATAGGAACATTAATATTAGTAATGGGACTCTCTTTCAGTCCACTGAATATGTCTCCGTCTTTAAGGTAAAATATGAATTTTTCTTGGCACCTGAACGTTTGCAGCAGGACCGCGCGCACGGACACGAGCACGCAAGACTCTACCTGCATGCTAAGAAGGAGTACTAACACACACAGAGAGACAGACACACACGCACGCACGCACACATCGACTTTCTCTCTCGAGGGACAGTTGTCTGCGCTGGTCTTTACACTACTCTCACTGCACACAGGCTCGATACAGAGACTGAAGGCACGATCGCGCCAAGCGCGTGCATGCTGCATGTGTGTGCGCGCGTACGTGTTGGAAATTGATTCAGTGTGACTTATGTTAAAACCCGGCGACCAGACTGTGCATTGGATTCTCGCCTCATCAATCATCCCCCGGCTGGCAGGTTATGCGCAATGTGTGTTTGCATGGGCAAGCGTGCGCGCGCATGTGTGACCCACACTGCGTTTTCGTATGTGTCAACCAATTCTATCCATGCGTTTTAAAGGTCACGTTAAAGCAATGTCGTTTGCAGATGCTCCACATCTCTCCCATAAACGTGTAACTGAAGAAAAATGAATGCAGCCTCTCTGGGCCGTTTGTGTCTGCACTCTAAAATCTAATTTTCCCCAACAGGGCAAAGACCCCGAAAACCCCACGACTCTTTCCCTTCAGCTTCTGCGGGCTGAGGGGCTGATGATGATGTCCAGGGCGGCACAAATCTGTAACAACACGCGCACAGAGAACCATGCGCACGGACTCATCGCCAGACATAAATCCAAAATATACAAGCACTGCCAGCGCAGACCGAAAGAGACCCACAAAGCTCACAGACGCCCGCACAAACAGTGGAAACAATAAAAGGGTGGAAAATCGGGTATTTATCAGAAACTTTCAGTTTCTCATGTCTTAGTCAGGTCAAACTGAGCGTCTTTAAACATCACTCACCTTGATTTAAAGTGATCGCCAAAGTTATGATCCACAAAGCTGGCATGGTTCAGCCGAGCGCATTCAGATTCCTCCCCTCGGCTCTGCCTCCCCAACAAGACACCATCAATTCCTCCCGATCGGGTGAATTTAACTGGAATCCTCTTTGAGTCATGAGAGTGCAAAAACACACATTTAGAGAAAAAAAAAATCCAGTGCCTCTTTATTTCTATTGCCCTTGTCTTTCTTAAACTATGTCTCAGTTTTTTCCGTGCGTAAATTAAACCTGTCTCCACTTCTTTTTTTTTTTGTTTCTCACTCTTGGTCCCTTTTCCTCTGTGCGCTTTTGATTCCCATTTAAATAGGACTGAATTCCTCTTTCTCTCTCTTCTCTTACTCTCTCTCTCTCTCTTCCTCTGTGCCCCCCTCCTTTCATACAATCAGTAGCACACACACCCTCCCTCCCTCCTTCACTACCACCACCTCCACCTCTTCCACCCCTCCCGCTCCAAATCTCGGTTTTAGAGAGAACAGAGAGGAGGGCGCTGCTGCGGCCACAACAAGAACTGCGTTTAAAACATAAAAAAGAAATCTAAACAGTCAGGTGTTAAACTTTACAAATGAATGCTGCTTTAACGATGAAAACTCAGATTATGCAGATTATGGATGTGAATAGTTTGTAACCTTTAAATTAAAGTAGCAAAGCAGTGAAGACAGTGTAGATAGTTAAATGTTTAAGTCAGATATTCTGGACATTAATTCGATTCACATAAGAAAACGATCAGAAATTTGCATTGTTCAAAGCTTTAGGCGTCTTGATCATTTCATGCCAGATTGTGTATATCTGGCTATGGATGACAGGACTACAGATTTTCATGTGCCGATCATAGTTTTAAAATACTAGAGTAAATTCTTTGCTCATCAAATCATAGCAAAATAGTTTTTGAATAGCTTTTGAGAGCTAAACCATAAAAAATAATGAATGTTGAATATTTATACATGTTGCTATTACTGTTACTATTAGGACTAGTGCAATAACAGCGGCCCGATCGTATCCAGTGTGCTAATGGGAATAGCTGCTTATAGAGGGAATTCGTATTCATTTGTATTTATTTATTTTTAAAGCGTAAAAGCCACCAGAACACCTGTTTAATTGCAGCTAAGAAGTTTCATTGCCTGCAAATACAGCAACATGTAAATTGCGTTAAAATTGCATAATTCACCACCCAAACGAGGTCAGCTTTGACAGTGCACGCATTTGTTGGCACCTACATCAATGCATTTTTGTTCAGTTTGAGCGGGATCACATTTCTGAGGGTGAAAACTGATTAATTTATTATAACGGCATTCTGTTTATTCATCCCAACGACGCTTTTATATGTAGAACAACTTCAGCAAAAAAATAGTTCTTTATCTTCAAATGAATGGAGAGCACGCATCATCCATCTGTTTTGATGCGACTACATACTGTGCAATTAACCAGTAGCATGTGCACAATATAAGGCTGATTATTAACCTCCAGTACCAACATGTGCTAACAATTTTCCCCAAACCGCAGAGCAAACTAAATGAGAGGAAGCAAGGGAAAGATAAGAGCAATGAAAGGAAACCACACAGAAGAAAGACTTAATAATCGGTTTCAGACATAATAAGATGAATTTTGTTGCCAGTGTCCAATGTAAGTTAATAGAATTAAGTGAGAAAATCAGTCAGTAGCTTTCTTATTTTTATAACCAAAGATCATTTCTGTTTAAACAAGAGTGTTCCGTTTACTATGTTGCACTGCCATCTGTTGGACCTTCTTTTTAGCTGCATGCTAGAAACAAAATATGCAGTGTGGCTCATCTGGACCTGTTGATAACTTCATTCTGTGGCTTTTAGATTTATGAGCCATTTTATCACATCAATTACTTTCTGGGGGGAAAAGTGTTTTTCAAGCACAGAGACTGATGAAAAGTAAGATGTTTAATCACTGGAAAGAAAAAAAACAGAAAAAAAACCCCAGAATCCGCTGACAAAGAAAAGAAAGCTCATAAATCCCATAAGCCTGTTTAAAGTCCTAATCAAGTCACTACAGATCTAGCATATAATATTATTTT